CAAACGAAGACGTTTCACTTCCCGACACACCATCGAAACCATTGACATATTCGCGCACAAACAGCAGCTCAGGAAAATCATTAAATTTAAGCACAGAAAATTTACTGGACTCGACGTCCAGCACACGTTACAATGTAGGTTCAAATTTGACTAAGGCACGCGCTATGAGTGTAGAGAATTTAAATGATGCAGCACGCCAATACCAGCTAGCAAAACAGTTACCTACACAAACTTATTCCGATTCAATGTACTCATTGAACACACTCAATACAGATTACACACAAAGTTACGCTTCATTGCCACGACGCCACCCAGCGGTACATCACTTAGAACGACGCACCAGTTTTTCCGGTCAACCAGCTTATGTACCGGATGAAGCGTCACGCAAGGCAGCTATAACAAATATATTAGAGCAAAGACGTCGTAGTTTATCAAAATTGCGTGGTCTAGTGATACCCGAACGTCCACACATACCAATGTCCACATTGGAACCCATTTTGGATTTGCCAGAGATCAAAAGTCGTGATAGTGAGAAAATAAAATCGGGCAACACATCATCTACAGATTCAACAGACAGTGGTTTAAGTTCCGGTAGTACTTCAACGCATGCACCCAGACCAGCCAAACGCACAGAATTTACGCACAATTCGAACCTTAACAACTCGTTACGCCCACTTAGCGTGTCAACCACTGGTAACGCAATGCATGTGCCTACAAACAATCCATACCGCAGCATTTTCGCACAAAACTCAGCCAATCGGCATAGTACCAGTCAAACTCCAGTCGTTGCACAGCGTAAGATAGAACCAGCTTATGCCGGTGTACCTCCTGCAAAGCCACCACGTACTTCATTGAATGTACCTTCTCGTCATCTGCACGAAGAAAGTGATTCTGACTCTGTATTTTCTTCCAAGATCTCTTCACCTCCAATGTCACCAAGCGTACCAGTAGTGCCCGAGAAATTCGCGCTCACCCGTACACTATCATCCGAAACAAATACCTCTATTGCTAGCTCCACAACATCGACACTCACATCTGGCTCCGGTTCACAAGCAAGCTGCAGCTCTATTGGTAGCACTCCTACTGTAGACTTATCCAGGCGCGTACTTAAATCAGGTTCAAATGAATCAGCCGCCAATCGCAAAAACATCTTAGCCTCTGCTAAATGTCGTAACGGACGCGGTGATTCTTCGGCTTTAATGCGCAATCGTCCCTATGACGACGAAGACAGTACTGATTGCAACGATGAAGATGAAATACGTCGTGTGCACAAATCCAAACCACGTTCCTCTTCAGGTGGCTCCTTAGTTATGCAACCAAACAAAATTATCTGCACAACAGCGCCCATCAGTTATAAAGTCGCTTCGAAACAAGATGAAAGCATTGTCGATAAGGTCATTAATGTTGCCGCCTATGTAGAAGTGACATCCGATACTGACGACAGTAGTCGTAAGTCGGATGCTGCTACTTCACCAACTAAAGTCAGTGCCATGTTTATCGATGAAGAACGAAAGGCGAGTTTCAAAGCCGATCCATCACAAAAAGCTTCGTCTCCAAAAGCTGTAATGCCAGCAAAAATTGTTTCTACTGTGAGTTCCGTACCCGTGCAACCAATCAGTCCACAAAAAGCAATGGAGGCCACTTCTCCAATATCCAAAAAATGCAATAATGACACAAATGAGCTATCGCAATGGATGCGTGTAGAAGTTGCGAAAACCGTCACAAAAACACCAGAACGCACACTTAAGCCGGTATTCGAAAAACTAGAATCAACAAATACAAAAATCTACAGCAGTTACAGCTCAAGAAGCGGAAGTAATACTAGCAAAATAACAACTGCCGAAATACGTGAAAAATTTGAAAGAAGCGCTGCTGCCTCAGGTACGACAATATCGCCGACCGTTTCAACAAATAGTTTGCTAAGCACAAAAATTCACACCAGAACTAATTATCACGAACGCTTCTCGTCATTGGATTCAGTGACTTCGTCATCGTCTGGTGTTAGTTCTAGTACACAAAATATTTCCGCTCAAGACAACAACAACGAGTTTGGCAGCTTTTCATCGCTTGGCAGCAATCAGAGCTTGATCACTGCACAAGATATACAACTTATTGTGGAAGAAGCTGATCCACCATTAAAAACACCCGAAGCCTTTATTATTGTATTACAACGAGACACACCCGAAAGCAGCATTGGCGTTACATTGGCCGGTGGTTCAGATTATGAAGCTAAAGAAATCACGGTAAGCATTTCTAATTTATATTAAGTACAAAATTGACTAATTAAGTATCCTTAATTTTGTTAGATACATAAAATTCTAACGAACACACCAGCAGCTAAAGACGGACGTCTTAAGAAAGGAGATCGCATTTTGGCTGTCAATGGTATGAGCATGAGAGGATTAACGCATCGTGAGTCTATAACTGTTTTGAAGGTAATATATACTATATATTTAAATCGGAGATAATTTATGATAAATAGAGAACATTAATTTAATAAATTAATTATAAATAATTTTTATATTAAATTCTTTATATTAACTAAAACTTATATTTGAATTTTAGACACCACGTCCAGAGGTTGTCTTAGTTGTGACTCGTTCCGAATCAGTTGTTGTAAAAACAATGAATAAGAAACGCTCATCGCTCGGCTCACTGTCCTCACTTAACGAGAAACCCGCCGAGGTGGATTATGAGAAGAAAAGAAACTATCATAAAGCATCACGATCATTGGATCTTGATTTAGATATAGTATCCGCTGAGGATGATGTCGCACAAACAAAAACACCTTCAACTCCAAGTACAGCCTCAAGCAGTCCACAGCCACCTTCATTGGCTGCAACTATTAACGATGCCACGACAATAGCGAGCATACGTGCTAGACGTCAGCTTTCACGTGGTGATGCCAGCAAACTGAGCACTAGTGAACTATTAGAAAGAGCCGCAGAAACAAGAAATGCCTTAGCAGCAGAAATCAGAGCTCAAGGTAAGTCTCAAAATGAGCTTTTTTTGACTTTAAGTAACTCTTAAATGTGCTAAATAGATTTTAAATTAAAATATAATTTAAAATTACTTTAGATTTAAACGTCAGTTATGGGGTAGTGTCTATTTTACTTAATGAAAATTATTTTATTTAATAGGGAGGGTTTGAACTGTATTAAATTGCAACAACAAACATTTTTATTAATTTTTAAATAGTTGAATTTTTCAATTCAAATTCAAACTCTATATAAAACATAATTTACAAACAAAAATATTAAATATAAAATTAATAAGAAAATTTTTATCAAATCTCAGAAGACGGTCCTGCTGGTTCCAAAACAATAGAAATTGTTAAGGATAGCTGTGGTCTTGGTTTCTCAATTGAAGGTGGCTTCGACTCTCCAATTGGTAATAGACCATTAATTGTGAAGAAAGTTTTTATGGGTAAGTGCTGAAAACTATTTTCTATCTAATCATACATTGACTTACCTTCTCTTTTCAAAACAGGTGGTGCTGCACAAAAAACTGGTCAAGTTAGAAATGGCGATGAAATCCTTTTTATTAATGGCGTGCCCACAGCTAAAATGACACGCGTTGATGCCTGGAACTACATGAAACAACTGCCGTTGGGTCCAGTTCGGATTGTATTTGCCTAAAAGAATAAACTAAAATTATTAAAAAAAGCAACGAAAATATTTGTTAGAAAGAAAAAATTTTGTTAAATTTAGTTTTTTATAAAATTAGTTAACTTTTAATTATTTTAATTAAATATATATATACATATACTTTTTGTTTAGTTAGTCTCTATAACATTTAAATATTAACTTAATTATAATATGTTATTATTGTATATTACATTTGCAAATAAAAAATTTCTTTTATGATTACATTTTTAATATTTTTTGTTAATATATTAAAATTTTGTAAATTAAAATTTTTTACTTGCCATTAAATAATTAATTTTTTTAAATAATTTTTGAATTATTTTATTTAAAATGACAAAATGACAAAAAAATTATTAACTCCAAAATTTCAAGAACATATGGCATTAAAATGCATTTAATATAAAATATTTTTATAAACCAATTTTGTGTTTATTTACTTTTACATTGTGCAATTTACCTTATTTTACTAAGTTTTTCTCATTTAAAAAAAAAATTTAATTTAAATAACAAATTTATATATTTTAAAAAAAATTATTATTTCTTAGGGATTTTAACTTTCGTCACTGAATTTCGTGCGCTTTGTACCTATTTTAATAATTGTTCATTTATTTTAATAATATTTAATAAATATTTTGTATTTATTTTATATTTTTTTGAAATTGATGCTTTTTTTTAAAGTTTAAATTTTCTTCAAATCAATTTGTTTTGCTTTATAATTTTAGTTCGCCATAATTTATGCAAATATCAAAAATTATTTATAAATTAATATTATAAAATTACTCTTAAATATTGGTTTAAATTAATAAAAATGTTAAAATTTGTAAATGCTTAATATTAATTATCCTTATATGACTAATTATTATAACTATATAGAACGATCGTTATACATATATATGATATATAAAATTATTGACAATTAAAACAAAAAACTAAAAATGTATGCTATTTATATTATTCTATTATATATATACATAACCAATATATTATATTCGAAAAATGGAAACCCTATATATACACACTTATATATTATTTTAAATAATTGAAATTATATTTATATCATGAAATGATTAAATAAAATCAATAAAATATAAAAATAATAATACCGGAATTTTATTACATTACTCAAGTAAATAACTTAATTTAATAATGTTTCTTTTTTGTTTGGCGATAAGTGGAAAACATAAAAAACCAACATATAAGACTTTAAGTCACTAACTATATCTTAGAAATCAATAATAAAGAAACCTATCATTTGACCGGGAAGGCCATAGTGCTAACATGTTAATAGACAAAATATTTAAAATCTCAGTTTATATACATTATCTATATACATTATCTAAGCCAAAGCACGAAAACAATAGTGAAGCAATAAGTTAGACTATTAAAGGAGTTGTAGTTATTGTAGGAATCACAGGTTATTAGGTACTAGTTCTTATCCAAGAATTGAAATTCGACTGCAATTAACAGTAGTTAAAATAGTAATAAACAATTCGTGAAGTATTTAAATTTTTACAGAGCTTTGATAAGGCAGAATTCTTTTCTCGATTCGGAAACAAGTTTTTAATAAAGTTATATTTCTTATAAATCAATTATGATAGATAATAATCTATACATTTATATAAATCATTGATTATATAAATCAATTATGGTAGATAATAATCTATATATTTATTTAATAATAAAAAATTTGTTTACATGTAATATTTTAAACATCACTATCAAATTGAAATTATTACAACTTATATTAATAAATCAATAATAATTCATTCAAAAAATTGTTATGAATAAAGCTGTGTAGGTATTAATTCAAGACCCTTTCTATAAGACCGTAAAGTATGATAAATGGTAATACGAGTATTACACCTCACAATCACTAAATATAACAAGAAAGAAATTATACAAAATGAGTTTCTTCGATATTCTTAAAAAGTCATAAAAAGATATAGTAACGTGCGCCTACATACTACCCTGAAGGCAATGGCAACTATTTTTTTAAATATTGTGTTATTGGTTACTGGAACTTTTTAACATAAAATAATACAATAAAAAAAAAATAATTTTTTACTGCTAGAAAATTTTTTCATATAGTCAAAAATTACCAGATATATTAAAATATAGAATATAATTTTTAACTTATGAGAATGCGCCATCACACAGTGAGTCAATATTTTTTTATTGGGTCTAGTCTTATTTTTTTATTATTTTGTTATTCTATTAATATTTTTATTAAAACTCTTTAACTTAAATAATGTTTCAAATAGAAAGAAGTGATAATATTGTGTTTGATTTTCTTATTCAGAGCATAATAACCTTACAAATGAAATCACGACAAAAATTCGAGGTCTGTAAAGAGAATACTGATAGCCTCGTATGAAAATTTACAAGCTATATCCTTATCTTCAATTACTTAAGTAATCTTTGGTTCGAACTTCAAGAATTATTTAATCCTTAAACTACGGGAATTAAGATAAGTATTACTCTATTTATATTAACTATAATTTAGTGATCCCGAAAAGAGGATACTTTTAAGTTACTTTAGTATTCAATAATGAATTTCTATTGTAGAAATAAAAATGACGTATGACAAGAATCTGTCAAATAAGATAATTCTTTGATGATATTTTCGAACAACAATTCAATAATTCATTTGATCTAGTCATGAGTAAATTAAACCCAGACATGATACTCTATTTATTATTATGATGCAATGTATCTATCATATTTATAATGATATGTACAGATGACAACTGGAAAGAACAACCACAACGGTATTTATGGTTTTGCAATATTTAATCAGCTCAATTACTAAATGCTGTAGTCATCTGCGAGAAATATTGGTAATAGTTTTTCAATCGGTTAGAGAACCGATTTTTCTAATAAATGCATAATTCCAAGCCATAATGCTTACGGAGGGCTTACAATATATATCAATATTATATCTATAGCATGGCTTCACTAAAAAGAAGTGCTGATTAATCAAAATATTTATAAGATGGTAGTTAAAGATACTTTGAGTCAAGAGATTGATTTTATAAATTTTAAAGAAAGAATACACGCTATCTTTTGTGTTCAGATAATTGCAGTAATTCTCATAATTCGGTCATTTTCTTCGTAACATTATCCAAAATAATAGATTCTATTTTAAATTTTTTAAATATACCAACTAATTATTCAATATTATTACAATGCCATTAAGTTTTCAGAATTATAACCTAAATAAAAAAATATCTTAAAGTTTCAAATAAAAAATTCTAGACTTCTGATAGCCATCATAAAATAATAAGTTGACATAAATAGTTACTAAAAAAAATAAATCATATAATAAATTAAACAAAAATAGAAAAATTTAAGTAATTTATTGTTTTTATTGTATTTAGCAAAATTCAATTGTTTAAAATGTTAGCGTAAGTGAAGAACGCAAAATGTTAGTGAAAAGCAATAAATTTTATAAAACAAAAAACAATTAATTTCTTTATCTTTTTTATTGTACTTTGAACTCTGATTAGATATTTTAATAAAATTTTAGTAAAATTATCTGATTTACATTGCCTTTGTTTTGGAAATGACTAATGAAGTTGATCACCTCTCACCTCATCGCTTCACATTAGAAAATTACTCGACTAGGCAGACTGCGTGGCGCTCTGAGGAAAAAGTCGTATGACTGATGATCAACATTCAAAAATATTTAAATTTGTGGTCGCTAACTGAACAGTAAAAGTCATAAAAAAATATAAATAAATTGTTGACAAATAAAATTATAATTGAAAAAGAAAACTAAAAATACAAATGAGAATTAGTTAAACAAAATATATCATAAAAACTGTTTTTTTCCAAACTTAATTACAAACAAAAATATAAAATAAAAATATTAAATATATTTTAAATATTATATATATATTTATACATATTATATATATATTTATATATATTATATGTACATATAAGTATATATATATATATATACTTGTCACCACATCACTGCATCCTTTGAGAATTATTGTGACGTACCCACTTTAGTTCTATGGACGTGTAGCAGTTAAGAACGCTATTATGTCCTTTGGAGAGATGTTGCCTAATTCCTTTATAAGTGGATAGGCAGTGGATAAGTACCAAAGTCGGAGTCTGGCAAGGCTATTTACATTGTTCACTTAAAAGAGAGTAAACAGATTTGTCTAATTTTTTTTTAAAAGGTTCGTTATAGTTCAAGTAAAGTTCTTAGAAAGAGAAAAATTGCGAAAGTTACCTGATAAAGTGAAAATATCTGCAAATACTGAAAGTATATTTTCCTATTGGATATTTATGTTATAATGCTAATTTTCACTAAAACCGCTGAATCGGTTTAAATTGTATTCGTAGTGTGTACATTCTATACAAAGCCACTAAACATAAGCTCTACTATTTCTACTTGGAGTCAATAATTAAGGTCACCAGATTTTCTTAATGTGCATGAAATATTAAACTATGTAATCTATTTGTAAAGAAGCTGAACATAGGCTATAACACTTATTTATAGTATTAACCAAAATAGATGAGTTAAAAAAGATTTATGTTATAAAAACCTTTAATTTGTATATAAGTATAAGTAAGAGCCATCTGTTGTAAAAACCAGCTGCACACCTCCAAAACAAACATGGACCATACATGGTCCTTCATACATATATGAAGTACAGTTATAAGGACATTCAAGCAACTTTAAAATTCTACAGAGATTAGTAACAGCTCTTTTAAAAAAAAATGATAAAAGTTCTCTAATTTCCCTAGACTTAAAAATCCCAAATATTATGAAAAGGATCAAAAGGTTTGACTTAGTGAAAGATACCTAAACAAACTGAGTAATTATACAAATGCTATGGCAATTTATTAACTTGATAGTTTTAATGAAAGTAGGAGGAGCATAATGCGTTTAGTACAGAAGATAATACTTATAATCTAATAATGGAAGTGTAATAGAGAATGCAACTCTTTACTAAGTATGTAACATAAAAATAAATATTCATTGATTATAACTGTAAAATAAT